TATATATTATTAAAAGATAAAAATTTAAATCATAATTACGGTAATAAATTTGTACGTGTACTATTAAAAATATGAAAGGGTGTGTGTGTGTGTATATATATTACATTATCAGCATAATTTGATATAGCCTATAGTAAATAATTTAAGTGTTTATCGATACTCACATAGATTTATTATTGTAATAAATTTGTTTAAATTTGACATGTAATTATATCATTTTTGTTTATAAAATAGCATAATTTGAGATATATAAATTATTCCGTGTAATATTTTATATATTAGTGTATTAATTATTGTTTTATTAATATTTTTTAATATTCTTATGTAACATTACACAATGCATATATATTTACAAATCAGAAAAATGAAAACCGGATGCATCATGATTTGTGGTCTCAGTCTTTTGGACTTTTTCATATTTCTAGTTAATACCAGATGTGCAGATTGCTTGTTAGTTGATGCAGCTGCACTGTAGCATTTGTGTTGCCATAATGCCATTGATATGTGTTGTCTCGTGAAGGGCGTGATGGTGTTCAGGCTGAGACAGTGTGCAGCACTGCTGGATCAGCATCTACTGCATGCAGCCTCCTGCAGGACTGTTTGCCTGTGCTGAGACCAAATGAAGGTCAAGACTCACCGCTTGACTCCAGGATTGATGACTTGTAGGACTGTGCATGACTCTGCGCGGATTAATTCTCTCTAATTGCATAATCTGATGTGCTAATAGATTATACCTCAATCTGCCCTTCAGAAAAGCATTATGGTCATCAATCGATATGATTTAGCATTGTCGATGTGCGCCGCGGGTGTGATATTGACCCGGGAGTTATGTTTCCACAAATGTGAAGAGCTGTAAAAGCCAGAGGTGCGGGTCGTGACTTTCTGACGATGAGACGGGAATTGAACATCAATCGAGTATTGACCTGCACAGGATCTTCCCTCTTGAGTTTTAAGGTGTACCGGATCTTCAAATGACCACCGAATGACCTTTAAGGGATTTTGAACAGCCACTGACCTTAGAAAGACTTTGGAATGGTGCATTCCGTTCTGTAATCGTGTACTGCAGAGAGCGAGTAATAGAATGAGCTTCTTAAAAGGATACTCCACCCCAGAATGAAATTTTTGTCATTAATCACTTACCCCCATGTCGTTCCAAACCCGTAAAAGCTTCGTTTGTCTTCGGAACACAATTTAAGATATTTTGGATGACAACCAGGAGGCTTGTGACTGTCCCATTGACTGCCTAGTAAATTACACTGTCGATGTCCAGAAAAGTATGAAAGACATCGTCAGAATAGTCCATCTGCCATCAGTGGTTCAACCGTAATGTTATGAAGCGACGAGAATACTTTTTGTACGCGAAGAAAACAAAAATAACGACTTTATTCAACAATTTGTCTCCTCTGTGTCTCTCCGCATCATCATAGCGCCATTTTGGAGAATATCCGTTGAACGCAAGCAGCGTACGCTTTTCTTTGTCAGCTGTGCTGCACGGATTCGCTGTTTTCGTTCAAATCTAAGCGTAAATACACATAGAAAACGTATCGTTGTTTCGCGGCTGACACAGAAGAGCGTACGCTGCTTGCGTTCAGCGGATATTCTCCAAAATGGCACTACGGTGATGCGGAGAGACACAGAGGAGACGAATTGTTGAATAAAGTCGTTATTTTTGTTTTCTTTGTGTACAAAAAGTATTCTCGTCGCTTCATAA